GGCTCCGGTTGTGGATTCCTCAAGAAAATGCACCTGCCTTGGCCTGGGCAACCTGGCAGTACTCAGCCCACAAGCCAATCATGGAACATTTTTCTTTTTATAAAGATTATTGTACCATGATTTGTTTGGCACACAATCTGTCCTCAGACAAGTGTGATATATATATATATATATATATATATATATATATACTGAAAACGAACTTGTTCGCCACTCCTTGTTCGATTTGAACAGTATTTCATCGTTACTACGACTTTAACTCCGCTTAGTGTTCACCACACAAGTGTGTGTAATACAAAAGATGTTATTAAGCTCCTGAGGTGCTCAACGGGAATTTAGGCAATGAAGTCGAAGGCTAAACAGATTTCTAAGACCACAATAACTGTTGGTTTCCCGAATGCACGAAGGCACTCCAGCAGCAGCTGGTGTTGATTTTTTTGATGCACTCACGACTGTCTCAAAACCAGTTAAAAAGTTTCACCTCAAAATAAGTCCGCGTTAGGACACTGGCATGGGGTGCCGGCGGGTAACGTGCGCCGAAATCATAACTTACATTTCTGCTTGCAGATGTCATTTCATTCTGGGTGGTAGGAAACTGTTGCTTTTTCCATCAGGAATACTGATTCCTGAGGGGTTCAACTTCTTTGATGGCCCTCCAAGCTCGTATCTGTTGTAGCCTACAGTTGATTGATACGTTTGTCCTGCATGCTTGTGGCCGGATTAACTGTCAGATGCTCTCCGCTACCACACACGCACACCATGCGGACTGACTCTATTACAATATCGATCGGTTCCATCTAATCGGGTGTTAGTATTTGACTGTCCTTGAGTGTTAGGACAGGTCATCTTTTTGAAATTGCTAAGTTTTGGTTTCGGTTACATTACCACCACGTTACTCATCCTGTGGCACCGTTTTTGATTCACATTGGCATAATTCGCGTCCGAGGGATGGTCTCATCTCAGATGTGATAAAGGTTCCATCGTTTTCATTTTTGAGCTTCACCATACCTTGGAGCATGGGCCTTTGCTCCGTATACATACTGTGATGTGTACTTTAAAACCAAGTATAGAGATTAGAAAGCCTGTTCCACTAACCCACAATAATGTCATTTGTCTCTGATGTGGACGGATTGCTGGCCGTTCAAACATCAAAATGTAAAACTAATCCATATTTTTTGTTTTTAGCCGCTTCAGTTTGATCGTTTTCTAGCGCCGTTTCAGTTTCTCCACTTTTTCTTTCCAGCTACTCACGAATGCTGAACGTCAAGCCCTAGATGCAACATTTACGCCGGATAGTCAATTTGTACTAGTCGGATCGCCAGACGGGGTGGTCCATATTTGGTCAGTTGAGACCGGCATCCGTGTAGCCAGTCTTCCGGGGTATGAAGCCGCCACACAGCTCCCAAATCCGGCTATTCACACCTTGGCATTCAATCCCCGCTATGCAATGCTTGCTACTGGCTCAAACCAAACTGCTTTTTGGCTCCCAACAGTAGAGGAATAATCCTCTCTCGTTAAGAGTTGCTTCTGTACATATATATTTCTTCTAACAAACTTTATTTCGTCAACGTAATACTTTTTCTGTGTTGGCCACTCAAAACGGAACAGGATAAGGTGAAACAAATTAAAAGGTGTGGTGCAAAGATTCCTTACTTAAATAGGACTGGAAGACATTGAAGATCCTACAGTGCAAATAGTTTTTCATCGCTCGTAACATCTTCGACAGCAAAACCAAACGATATAAAAGGCAAAGTTTTGGCTAATGCTTGCAAGTTGTTACTTTTCCTATCCTATGGGGGTTTTGGCACAGAAGAATCTATTTTTCGGGCAATGGGAGATGATAAATGCTGTACCCAGTCTCATGAATGAGAAATATCACATGGTTTCACTGTGTTATATACTTTTACGGATTTTAGGCATGCCAATGATTCGTCAAGTTGCGTGTGTGTAAACAACACGAAATGGTAGGGAATTCTCATATTCTGATGGCAAAGGAATAGCGCAATCATCCCTTTTGAATTTTCTGAAGCATGAACTTGAATAGATAACATCGGAGGAGGATTCTGGGCAACAACATTTAATCATTTAATTCGCCCAAACCAGGTTTCTTCAAATTCGACGATAGCAAGTTTAGTATAACCCCAATGATTGCTACCTTCCCACAAGTGTTGGAGTACAGTCCCTTGATTGTTTCTGTGATCCTTCTGTGTGGTTGTTCCAAAACCTTTTAATTGCATTGCAGTCAGATTGCAGGTTTGAATGGCATGCTGAAAGTGTAGTATAACGTATGCTTATACAATAGGCCTCCAAAAGGGTTCTTCCAATGAATGGTCGTACCTTCATGAATTAGCACACTTGCATACATGATTCAAAATACTAGTGATAATCTGACGTTCAACTGAAAAAATATTTGCGTTTGGTATACATCGTTCTGTCTGAAGTTTTCGATCTGGTTTACATTATTTGTCTCAGATCTCAATTGCGAAATGGCCTCTGATGCATATGCGGGGTGGTACGTGTTTTGCTTTTTTTCTTGGGGTAAACGTTACATCCAATCTTACTGTCTCTTCCATTCCCGTACACACTATGCCCCCTTTGATACTCTCAACTGTTTTTCACCCGAAATTCCTTTCAAGACAAAAGCAACAACGGCTGCTGAAATCCGATTGTACATAAGTCTATGCGATAGAGTTCCTATGTTAACAAATCTTAACCGGATTTGTCAATGGATTTATTTCATTTTGTATTATTTACTCTTTTTGACCTCCAATGGATGATTGAGTTGCAAAATAACTGCAATGCTACTGGCCTCTAAATAACATCCGAAGGGCATCGTACTATAACAAGCATGAAGTACTGCTACGAACTACAATGAAATAGCACGGGTTTCAGTGTAATCTATAAGCGACGGGAAGACGCCAACGAATTGATCCAACAATATCAGGCAAAACCTTTTTCATTGCACGCAACGTGATTAGCAGCAAAGAGGTCAATCCTATATGGGCTTAATTGCTCTCACCGGCGTGCCTTGGACCCTATGGTCCGAGGTTCGAACCCCACCACTTAACTTTGGTGGTAGGTAGCTGTACTGTCGTCTGGTTCAATACCACACCTAACCTATCGGGGCCTTATGTGGTTCGCCACTCCAAGTCCCATAACTTAGGCTGCAGGTTTTCATGACTGAACGGGTCCTCGTGACTATGGGGCTTTCTCCGTTTACTGTTTGCCGCACTAATGTGTATAATAAAAAAGTCCATGACCTACTGGTTCGGGGAAGGCGTGTGGAGAATATTAGGGTAAGAACTAATTTGTTAATACTGCTTTTGAAAAGAGTGAGATTATAAGTGTCCGGAAATATGGAGATGAAAAGATTGTCTCACAGTTTCCCGGTTCTGGAAGTTACAAATTCGACATCTGGGTACAGAAACCTGATCAGTGACTAATCGCCTGAAAACGAAATGGATGAGAAAATTACAAGGGGGGTGGGGGAGCTGCTGAAGTGCGTTCAGAAAAGCAGAATCCCAAATAGTAATGAGAGAAAGGAGACAACAAGCAACTGCTCGGCGATGGGAAAGTGACTTCGAGTATTAAGTTAAAAGGGATTCGTTGGTCAGCTGTATGGCCCTGCTTTTAACCCGGTTGAGAAGAGAAATCATGGATTAAGAAGCTCCACTCTGCGTGACGGGGGTATTCGATCATTGGGTGGATTTTGGCTTTGTACAAAAGGTGCTTGGGTGTGAAGAAGCGCCCCTCACGGAGTGGGAAACGACTTTGCGCCCAGCGTTAGAGTGGAGTGTGGGAGTAAACGGAGAGCAACGGAGAGAATAATTTATGGAACGAAGGGGAAGCGAGTCAAAAATCAATTTCAGAGAATAAGTTTCATGTTTAATAGAGACGGAAAGGAGTTTTGAAAGCATTGAAACACAAGGTCGGTAGAGGCTCAAATGGAGATGAGTCAGAGATCGGAGACGATAGAAGCACTAATGGCATTTCGATCGTTGTCGATATTGACAGTGGCTTGACTTGTCATGCGGTAAGAAATAAAACAATGGACAGTGGCTGTATCAGTCAGATTGATAAGGATTAGAGGTTTTGGACGGATGATTGTTAATAACTAGAAGAAAGAGGGTGGGCGAAAGCACAGAACCGCCGTGAATACCGGCATTCGCGAGGAGTGGCCGATGTAGGACCCCATCGACTCGGACGGAGCTGGCTCGCTTGCTGTGGGAACATTGCAGCCACGACACGAAAGGCGGGTGGAATTCGAACGTGGGTAATTTCGATAACAAACTCGTGCCAAACGCATGTAGAGTATGCTATTCAANNAATCCATGGCTGTAACGAAATCATAAGATTCTGGAACGTTCACCAAAATGATTAAGGGACTGCATTCCAAGACGTATGCAAAAAGACTGGATTCATTGTGGTTGTACTCTACAGAGTATCACCGAATTCGAGGGGACTTGATTTTAGCGTGTCGAATAATGCAGAACCCTGATCACCCATGTCTTTCACTGACAATAAATGCTGGCCTTTTCGCTCAAGGGGCACTTATTCAAATTAGTGCTCCAAAAATATCTAGAATACCGGCGTCATTCATATGCTTTCAGAGTGTGTAGTACTTGGAATTCTCTACCACCTCACACTGTTTCTGTGCCCGCAATTGATTCTTTCAAGCACAAACTGGATGAAACTTTGTCAAGTCTTAAATTTTGACATCCATAGCAGTGTCTGAAACAAAAATAATCTGTGACATTCCTCATCTTTCTGTTGAACGTAAATGGGCCCATTTATGCTAAACCCTATGCGATACGAAAAGAAACCGCTTGTGTTTCCCATGATGAAACTTTGACTTTGCGGCCGATGGCCTTTGCGGTGTCTGGCAAGACCAAATGAGTTTCTCCGTGATTATCGAGTGCAGCTGACCATGAATGCGATCTGAGAGCCAGTAGGTCACCCATGGTTTGATAATGATGAAATCCATATTGAAGGTTATTCAGCAGACCTTCGCGTTCAATAAACGCATGCATTCGGTCGAAAATGATGGTTTCAAAATTACATAAGTGAGAGTGATGGGACGATGGTTGATGGGTTTGTAAGGGACACCACGCTTTGGGATAGGAGGAACATGGGCATTTACCCATCCAAACCACGATATTTCTGGTTGTTATGAGAGGTAGAAACGAGTGGCTGTATGTATGGGAAGGGAGTTGAAAATGAGTGGTTAGATAAGACAGTTGTAGGCAAACTGGGGGTTGGAAGACTGCTTTTTCGTGGGGTTCAAAAGATAGTGAACCAGAGGAATATCACATGGAAGAAAAGTGGAAAGGGGCAGAAATCACAGGAAACCGTATTAGCGAGGAACCAGAATGTTCACTTGTCGGTGATGGACGAAACCGTGCGCCTTGCTCTGTGGCGAATGAAGCGTTCCTTAAATTTCTAAATAATGAGTGAACATTTTTTCTGGCTTGCATGAAGCGGTTGCGGGTTGGTAACCGGCACCAGCGACGGACTACTGAGATCTTGAAACGTGCATTACAGTCGAAAGCATGAATAAACCATTAAGGGGATCGTAATTTACCGGGTTTGGAAGTGTGAAATATCAAAATACATGCCTTGAAGGACAAGTCACGAAAACTGTCCCAGTTGGCTGAGTCATAATGCCAAAAGGTGCATCGGGCGTTAAGTAGTGAAACGGAGTGAGATAAGTGAGTGACAAAGGAAGTGAGGCAGTGGTATTATTAGCCGAGAGGGGAAATAGAAGTGGTGTTAGGGGAAAAAGCGGGGATAGATATGAGAGGGAGATCAAAGATATGGGTGCGGGCACAATCACGATCGGGGATGCGTTTAGGGAGATCACGTTGTTGACGACAAAACTACGCTTTGCGTCCCCTGAACGAAGTGTCTGAGGACGTTGAACTCTCCGACACTGTTTATTTGGATGGTTTGTCCAGAAGTACATGGAGGGTTTCTTCTATGTTCCCTGAAAATTTCAGTTAAAAGAATGGCAGATTCTGGAGCACGATCAAAGCGAAAACGATGAATATTATCAATCCTGGCTCCTTTGCTGGACGCCACCACTAATCCTGATGCCAATTATGACAGCGTGCAAATACTTTAAACACCAGCTGATCAAGGGCTTGGGAAGTGACCACGCGATGTCGTGGGTAACAAAATGTAAAGACATGGAATAGTCTACCGGTGCCACCAGCCGTTTTCGTACAAAATGGCTTACATCGTCACTTTTGAACGGCAGTTGAATGAGAATGCCACAGGGTCAAAATGCGACGTTCTCATTTAACTGCCGTTCAGAGGTGACGATGTAGGCCAACTCGTACGAAGACGGCTGGTGACATCGGTAGCCCGCACATGTTTTGCTGCAAATCCGGTCGTTCGCTTCACCACAACCCAGAGTCCGGAGCCTTTGGTGAATTCGCCACTATCCCTGTCCGTCAAATCCCACCTAATCTGTGAATTACAATGTGGGTGCAGAGCCATCTACGTGGGCAGAACAGAGGTAGCTGTATACCCGATTGGCAGAACATATACCAGTATGGGTCGAACGCGAACGGATCAGATAGAGAACTATACAAACAACCATCCAGTGAAACCAATCGCACGAGCAGCTGCGTCATCAGTTGCTCGCCATCTGCTGCAGACTGGCCACCAAGCCGAACGCAGGTCTTCTTTTCGGGTTGTTTACACAATCTCGAATGGACGGCTGCTAATATTTGCAGAAACCGTAGAAATCAAGCATCGAAAGCCCCTGCTTTGTCAGAAAAAGGAGGTTTACATCAGTCTGTCATTGCCTTGGTAACTACGTAGGCGGAAGAGTGAATTGATACCATGTTAGATTATCAACAACGTTTTGTATTTTGCAGTAAACACCAGCTGAGATGCAGCGAAATGATTCTAGAACGGAATCCTGCTCGCTTGCAGTGTTCTGTTTTTAATTCCACAATGCCATTATTCAACGAAACTTCAGGAACAGGTGGGTGGCAATCTTTCGGCATTGCGTTTGACTTTGAAGTTGCGATGGACATT